GTCAAATTTGGATAATTATGATTGGTTGTCAATGGTTTTATCATTCATCAGCTAAAAAAAGTTGTTCTGGAAGCAATTCCAACAATAATATCGCTCTTTGGTGTCAATAACATTATATTTGTGGTTTGAACTTTCAGCCCTGTAGATGGAGGACTCTCCAGTTGAGCAGGTTGGAGGAGTCACATCAGCTCATTTCTGTTCAGTTTGTTGTGGAAACTTGAATTAAAACTGGGTAGATTGTAAGGATACGGCCTGGTTTCAACAGAAACTATGTTTTGCCTTCGCGGCCGAGTGCACGTTGTGCCAAATGGTTTCACTATTGTGTGCAACTGTTGTGTCAGTTCTTGAGACCAACCTACCTGCATTATTTATTCTAGTGCATCCAGATGAAATACTACACCTATTCATTCAAAATGACAAAAGAGGCCATTTGGTAAAATGGTGAAGTGTGTCTCATGGTGTTCCTCATTTGATAAGCAATAGCTCCGGTCCAAGATGTCTAGCGGTCAGCATGATAAAATAAAGATGGTGTGGGATGGCGTCTCATAAGGGTCATAACTTTAAACCGTGCCCTTCGGGTTGGTGTTGGTTGCGCACTCTGCATTTTCTGGAGGAATAGTGGCGCTCAAGGCCCCCTAAAATGGATATTGCACACTGTGGACCTTGACTTATTGTTAATGACGTTGTGTTGAATTAATTTACCGCTGAGGGACTTTTACCCAGACTTTGACCTATACAAAATCAAGTATTCCTCTTGCGGTGGCACTTTTTCAGTCTGTAATAATCTCATATTTATTGTTATAGCTTATCAAACATTTTGAGTAACTTCCAGTCGCCTGTATGCGCCCGTATTGTGTTCGATTTCAAACCATAGAGAGTGTAAAACAATATGGGGAACAAGTCAACATAGCACTTTACAGGAAGGGGAAAGGGAAATTTACCCACCAGTCTTTGTGCACCACCTTAGTGCTACACAAAGTTTTTCTAATTAAAGCAGTGAAGCTATTTTGAATATAGTGCTTTATATTATATTATATTATTTATCTAAATATATAGTATATTTATATTTAAAATATTTTTAAACATAATATTTCTTATGTATGCCTATATAGTTTAGTTGTTGTGTCTGATTTAGTGAAAATCAAAAGAGGTCCAATTGAAGCTGTAGGCAGTTGCCAAAGGAATGAAACGTGCTTGGCCTGTATTTCTAGTCTCTGGCCCCTATTTTAGAAGATAAATCAGATAATGCTGAACTGTGTGTGTTCATGGCTAATCATTGTAAAATCCGGCTAGAAACTATTGTGGTGGTCAATGAGGCTGTATTTACCCTCTTATCAGCATCAGCATCATGAACTCCAAGCCAGAATGAGCAAAT